GCCGTTAGGAACTAGTATAAATAGCAGCTTAGGCCTTTGTAATTTGTGGTGCTTCCAGTATTAGTAATTGTCAATATTTTCTATCAATTGAAAATCTTTTGAAGCTATTCTCTCGTGTTTTTCATATTTTTCATCTGTGTTCTTGATTGATTATTTGCTCTGTTTGTTCATTTAATTGTTTCCGCTGCATTGTAATCGTTCTAAAAGTTCATCTAGAGTAAGTGATTAAATACCAAGCTGAATCTAAAAGTCCTAACAATTGGTATCAGAGCCGGAATCAAATTCTTATTTGATTGATTTCGTTCTTGGTATTAATTTGCATTTGTTCAAGAACACCAGTCTTCTTCCTCAGGTTACCCTGTTTCACTCTACTTAATCAGTTTCTTCTTGTTCATACTTTTCTTCTTCTTTCAATGGTGAATCATGCCAATACTTCTTTTATGAGCACTGGTTCGCAATCTAAACCTTCCACGCTTATACGTGAGGAGTATCTCCAATGGAAAGTGCGAATGGTTAACTTTCTGGAAGGAATTCACCCAAGGATTTGTGAATTTCTTTATAATCCTCCTTATGTCCCCATGAACTTAATTCCTAGAGTTCCAGCCACTAGAACAACTCCAGAAATTCCCGAGCATTATGAACCACGTCCTGCTACAAACTGGAATGATGAGGACAAAATGATGGTTGAATTGGGCAGCAAGTGCAAACGATTGTTAATTATGGCAATACCTCACGAATCTTCAAGTGCATCGATCACTGTCAACTGTCCATGGACATTTGGGCAGAATTAGAGAAGCAAATTGAAGGAGGTAAGAAAAAACTCAAAAATAATCGATCAATTTGCATTGACGAGTACCACAGCTTCAAGGCGAAAGAAGGCGAATCCCTGTCTGACACATACTCTAGACTGAACACCTTAATCAGTAACTACAAGAGGTATGGAGTCATGAGAACGGCAGAGGACAACAACTCATTATTCTTGAAGAGCCTTAGAGTTGAGTGGATGCACCTCACCATGTCCATGAAGGCCACTCTAGGCTTGGAAATGTGGACTCTAGCAGACTTGTTTGGATCTCTTAAAAGCCAAGAGCCTCAAGTTCTGCAGATGAAAAAGAACTATGGTGGTCCTCTGGCTCTAGTCGCAGAGGATGGATGCTCTAGGAAATGGAAGGTGGCACAAAAGGAACAGAAGGAGAAGAAGAAGAAGAAGAAGAAGAAGGTATTGATTGCAGACAGTGAAAACAGTTCTGATGAAGAAGTCTCCATGAAGAAGATAATGAAAACTCTGGCCTTAATCACCAGAGAATTTAGGAAGGGTGGAGAGAGGAAAGAGTTTAAAAGTTTCAACAGAAGAAACCTTGCAGAGGGAGAGAGATCTGAGAAAAGAAAGAAGGAACAGAAGCCTTCGCAGATGGTGGAAGAGCAGAGGAAGGAAGAGCCAAAGGATGGCTGCTTTAAATGTGGCGAACCAGGCCACTTTGCTGCAGACTGCTGGTCAAAAGGGCGAAGGGCACCACAGAGGGGTCCTAAAGATCCAGCCTTCTATAAAAAGAAGTCTGACTACTACCAGCAGA